CCACATTAGCGGTGTCTAATGGCGAATATCATTGCTGCATAACAACCAACAACAATATTGCCCAAGGTCCTGCCAATGCTGGCTTGGAGGGGCAGAAGGGGCAGAAGTCCTCTCATCAGACTTCTGCCCCTAATTTTTGTTGTTGTTTTGGCGTTTTTGCCCCGTTGAGAGGTTACTGATGACGACCACGTTTATGGGAGGGAGTTCGAAGCTGACGTGGTGTAGTTGTTTGTTAGTAAATGACGTAGGCAAAGCCGTTCCACGTGGATAGTGCCTTTGGCGCTAGTGGGGCTTCGTTGGCGGGAAGGAGGAGGAGGAGGGGGAGGAGGGGGAGGAGGGGGAGGAGGAGAGGAGTCGCTGCAGAGGTTTTGGTGCGCTGACAAGGAGCAGGGTTTCTACTACCGTATATATATATATATATATATTGTCACATGATATCAGAGCGCCTAAGCGAAAAAACCAAAAAAACAAAAAAATCTTAAATTCGTTTTTAATCTTCTTCCTTGTATATGTATAGACCGGCGAACTGCAAGTTCCGTGTCACTTCCACGTGGAGCAGGAGGAGGAGCGCTGCTCCGCCATGTGAACGACGGCGGAGGAGAAGAAGTCCCTGCTCTGCCACGTGGTTACGTGCTGCACGTTCGATCAATCAAGAGATTAGGGGGGGGGGAAAGGAAATGAAGGAAATCCGCATAAAAAATCGATAAACGCCATCGTCACCATGCGGTTCGACGGGATCAGGGAAAAGTGGAGGGACGTGGGAGGCAGGAGGAGGAGGAGGGTAGGATAGAGAAGGAAAGCGGGAGGCGGGAGATAGAGAGAGGATCGACACACATGTAAGGACTATGTACTATTCTCTGTCTCTCACACACACATACACAAACGAGAGAGAGAAAGGAGGCAGGTGGGAGGTAGAGAGAGAGAGAGAGAGAGTTGGCACACATGTACGGATTGTCTAGCTCTCTCTCTCTCACGCACAGGCGTGTGCGCGCGCGCGCACACACACACAGACACACAGAGTTCATCACACACACACACGCACAGAGGAAGACGACGGACAATGTAGTGATGTAGCGCTACAGATAATGGGATAGTAATTAGAGTGAAGGAGGAGGAGACACGTGTCTGCGTCTCTGCATCGTCAGCATGGGTTTGGTAAGCGTCTCTGCGTCGTCGTCTTCCTGTGTCCGAGCTCCGCTTGATGCATGCCGCGAGTCGGCCTTCTTCTCATCCGTGATCCCGTTTGTAGTGTCCCAAGAGCACCTCCCCGCAAAGAAGGTGTTATCTTCTTCTTTCTGTTCTTCTCTGTCTGGTTCCACTTCTTCGTCTTCGCCATCCCTGGGGACCTATCATCATCATCTTCACTCTCATCGTCCACGTCTTCATCCTGCTCCTTCTCCTCCCCGTCATTATTATCCTCATAACTACAGTCGTCACCATGACCAACATGTTTTTAATCGTCAGCATCAGCCGTTGCAGGGTTATGGCGGCCGTTCCCGCGATTTCTCGGGCTATCGTTTATACCTGGGGGGAAGGAGGAGGCGGTGGTGGGAGAGTCGAGCCTCAGGCTTAAGGCCCCCAAGCTCCGAGGCAGCGGAAGACTCTCTGGTGACCGGCGATTCTCCTAGAGATGACGTCAACGAAAAGGATAATGTCGATTCGAGCAGCCATGGCGTCCGAGCATCTTCTTCTGCTGCTGTCGTTACTCCTCCTCGCAGCAGCAGCGATGGCGGTCGAGATCAAGATGACTTCGGTGAGGGGAGAGGAGAGGAAGGTACACGTGGCGAGCTGGCAGAGGCAGCAGCTCCTCGAAGGAAGACGAAGATCGACTCATGTGCATACATCAATGCTGACGTGGCAACCGGGCAGTCGATGGAGCATTCCGCTAATCTGGTGGTACGTGTCATGGCGCAGGGAATTCTAAGCAAGCGATGCTAATGCAATATTATACTATGCCATGCTATTCTATACTATGCAATGCTATGCTATGCTATGCTATTCGATGGAGCATTCCGCTAATCTAGTGGTACGTGTCATGGCGCAGGGGAATTCTAAGCAAGCGATGCTAATGCTATACTAAACTATACTATGCTATGGTATACTATACTATACTATGCTATGGTATACTATACTATGCTATGCTATGCTATGCTATGCTCTGGTATGCTATGCAAATGGTATGGTGTGCTCTGCTATGCTCTGCTCTGCTATGCTATGCTATGCTATGCTATGCTACGCTATGCTATTCGATGTAGGATTCCGCTGATCTGGTGGTACGTGTCATGGCGCAGGGAATTCTAAGCAACTGATGCAAACGCTATACTATAATATACTATGCTATGCTCTTCTATATTATGCTATGCTGTGCTATGCTATGGTCTGGTATGCTCTATGCAAGTGCTATGCTATGCTATGCTCTTCGATGGAGCATTCCGCTAATCTGGTGGTACGTGTCAATGGCGCACGGAAGATGCTAATGCTATACTATATTATGTTATGCTATACTATGCTATGCTATGATCTGGTATGCTATGCTATTCTATGCTATGCTATGCTATGCTATGCTATTCTATTCTATGCTATGCTATGCTATGCTATGCTATGCTATGCGGTCTCTGCTATGCTGTGCCATGCTATGTGAGGGGGCCACACTGGGTTCAATATACTGTGATGAGCTGTGTCGACTTACGTGAGCTCTTCAAGCGAGGTACTGTCAATGGTTGTTGTTTGATCCTGCTGCGCTGAGGTATGGGATGGGACCATGCTATGGTATGCAATTGAATGCAGTGCTATGCAATGCTATGCGGTCTTTCCCACGCTGTTCCTTGCGATGCTCCTGTGCTTTGCTCCCGAGTTATGCTCCGTTCAGTATACCGTCATGTGCGATGTGTCTTTAGCATCTGCGGTCCGTGCTGCTATCGACTTCTCTGTGGACCCTGGCCGCTTGGAGGAGTAACGTGAAGTGCCATGTTGTTGTGCTATGTGATGCTGTGTGATCTGATCTGGTGCTATGCGCTGCTATGTTGGTATGTGGTGCTATGTTGCTACGTGGTGCTATGTGATGCTATATGGTGCTATATGGTGCTATATTGTTCGATGCGTGTGCTATGATGCGGTGCTATGCGCTCCTTTTCGTTTGTTTTTTCTTAATAAAAAAAAACATCGGTTGGCGCCCGACTGTTGGAAGTGATAAGACCTTGGGCACTGGGCCCCCTTTTTAAGGGAAAAAAAAAAAAAAAAAAAAAGTGATAAGACCATCCTCCCAGAGTGAGATCCCCCTTCTATGATGGCTCCAATCTGTTGGTGGGGAGCTGCAGCTCCGGGAAAATGGATCCAGCGTCCCTTAACGCAAAGTTGGAGTCCTATGTGGTACTATGTGGTACCTTGTGGTACTATGTGGTACTATGTGGTGGCCTGGAGGGCTGTGACGTTGTTTGGAGTGCCCGTGGTATGCGCTTCGCGCTCAAAACCACCAGTACGTGGCCCAGCTATCGGCCGTGGGAAAAACAGAGTAGAAACGTTTCTAGTCGGATGAATGTGGGCGCTCCTGTAGTGGCAGGTACGTTTCCTAAAACCGTGGCTTGTTAACGGGCACGACTTTAGCAAGTGGTGGGTTAACGTGGTACGTGGTGCCATGTGATGCCGTGATGTTGCGCGGATGCCTCTGGTGGGTCTTTCTACACTACGTGGGTGTGGGAATGTGGTATGTTGTGGTCCATGGTTGACATGTGTTGCTATGTGAGCTATGTGTTGCTCTGTGAATGTCTATGACTCTATGGTCTGTGTTTAGCATGCTATGTGCTGCATGTTGTTGGCGAGCTATGTTGTTGGTAGCTGTGTTGTCCTATGGCGTCCTATTTAAGTGCTTGGGCTGTGTGCTTTATTATGCACAGGGTCGTCATTCTGGGTTTAGTTCATGGAATGGCATGGCATGCTGTGCGATGGTGCCAACGCACGTGGTTCGAGCTGCGCTGAGCTGTGCCGTGGCCGTGTGTGTGCCTGTGCCACGTGGAGGCATGATATGCCTGCCGTCAGATTTATGGCGATGTGCAAGCTGGCGCGTCTGTAGCAGCCTCAGGTGACGTCGTTGTGCTGGGGAAGCTGTTGGGAGAGGCCACAGCTGGCAAAGATGGGGATCCCGACGCTCAAATCTTTGCTATCGAGATGGCCCCGGAAGTGTTGAGAATCGCCCATGTCACTCAGGCCGCCCCCTTTGGCCGCGCAATTGCAGCAGGCCCCGAGGTCGCACAGTTGTCTACCAACGATTCGAAAATCAGGTGTGCACTGCGTCTC